GCAACAAGGTCTCGAGGCAAGAATTCCCATTGTAGGGTCCGGCGACAAGGTTCTGTTACAGGGTGTGTTTCACTACCTAATTAATACTTGAGACACTTGTCACTAGTTTATTAGCTTGTGTCGCATGTGTCTAGGCCACACATGTGTAAATACTTTTATATTCTCACAAGGACAATTTTGGGGGATGGATGTAAACCCTTAATCTCTAAGTCTTAAGGATACAACCCCTCTCTCTCTCCTCCCTCCTCTCCTCCCTCTCCTCCTCCATCCTTCACACCCTACTCTTGGGTCCCTCCGATTGTGACGAATGTGAACTCATTTAACTCCCCACCTATACTAGCCAATGAAATTTTCCTTGTGTTGATGAATGGTAATAATTTAAAATCAAATAAGTGAAGTAGTCACGGTTTGATCACGATCATACACACACAATCTAAAATTAAACTTTAATACTAGGGTCCACTAGCCTGGTTTTCAATGGATTGGAAGCCATGCTTCTTTTATCTTTTCCAACTTTAATACCAAATGATCTCGGATCAAGGTACGAGAGAATATAAGGATAATAAATTCAGGTCTTATTCCAACCCTGGATTAAAATAAAGAGTAATGTTAATTAGAGTTAAATTACTAGTCTAATTTAATGACATCATCAATCTCTATCATTTGATTTATTGGATTTCAATATTGATTGTGACTCGTTACTTGTAGATAGTCACGAACTAAGATAATAAATTAGATCAATAAATTAAATCTAAATAATATTAATATAAAATAAAAAAATTAGCTAATTATTCAATTATTCAAGCATGTACCATGTTGTATTTCAACCAAAGGAAACTCAATGGTATTGGAAAAAAAATTTTATATCGATATCGCCGATTATTATTTTGTATGGTAAATTTACAATTTTAAAAGGAGAAGTTACAATTGTTCAAAAGATGTCATGATTAATTACAAACACCCGTGATCAATCATGAATAATGCGGTATCGATATCAATATTCCATGATCGATCATACCATTTAAAATTGTAACTTATATCTCAAAGAAAATATACCTTTCCTGTATAAAATTGTAATTTTTTGTACCAGTACCGCAGTTCCCCCAACCAAACACCTCTAAAAATTCATGGCTCCGGTGTATTGTGATTCTCGGACAAACTACCTGAAATAAAAAGGCCTTACAAAACCAGACTTCTATGTAGTCATGTAAACACTATATCCAAATTAATTTTTTTTTTTTGGGGATCTAAGTTTGTGCTGAGTATTCTCTCGAGCTCGAATACTAACTATTATAGCTTGAGCAAATTTTGAACACGTCTCATGAGAAATAAGAATGAACAGCTCTAAGAATACGAAAAATATTGTACTCGACATATTTAGGTTATCAGGGACCAAGTTCAGTCATTGAACTACTCCTACAGGTTCAGTCATTGGAAAGGTTGGCTTCAATGCACATTCAAGCTCGGCGAGAAAGACTTAAATATCTTCTCCAGCTCCTACTTAGTTAGGGGTGCTAGTTTTTGACACAACACAATAATACGATTCAAAATTGATACGAAATTAGCATGTTAAAATTAATCATTTCTCGACATAAATCCACTTATGACACAACTTGTTAACACAAAAAATAAATGAGTTGGGCTAATATCAAACATGAATAATAAAAAATTGACATGATTAATAAATTGAAGTAGTATTATAAAAAAAAATACTATTTTTTTATTATATTTTTCCAAATAGTGAATTAATTCTTGAAAAAAATATTTTCCTCATTTATTATTATTATATTTATTTTACTCATTTTTTTTAGTTTATAAAAAAAAATATGATCATAAGTTCGATTAAGTAATAATGAAATTTTAGACATAAAATTGATTTTAAATTTTTTATATACGGATTATATTTTTCAATAAGAATACGAATACGACACAAAAATAAATAAATTAACACCATTATTCAACCGAGTTAGAAATAGAATTGACTAAAATTCGGCCCGAACGATACGACCGGACTCTCACCACTAAACTCAGCCCAATAAACGTTGCTTTTTGGAGAAAACACCCCCAATTCTAATTAGGAAAAGTTTAATTTCCGAGCAACTTCAACCCACAAATACTATCCCGCGTATAATCAATTACAAAAAATCTTATTAGGAAAGGTTTGGAAAGTAAAGGATTATTACTAGTATGATCAAGCTAGAACTCCCATTCCTCCTAAAAATCAAAAACCAGTTAGGTTCTCTGCTATATATGCATATGGGTTCTTCTTCTCTTTTACTTTTCAACAATTTGCCCTTAACAAACAACAAATTTCTTACTCCGCCATTGACAGCGGATATGACGAAGGGTATTGAACCCGATCCTTCGCTTGATAAATTCGAATGGCTAGTAATGGCTGCGATGATCAAATACGATGAAGAAAAGTTGCAAGAAAGTAGGGTGGAGGATCAGCAGCCACCGCCTGTTACCGTCCAACCCACCACGTCCGGTGACGACGAGTCCTCTGAAAAGCCTTCTGTGTCAGGTTCAGTTCTTCAACGTTCCAACAAGGGAAAGAAGCCGATGGTATTAGACGATACAGACTTGTATTACAATCAAGATGCACCTGATGAGTACTTCAATCAGATGTTATCTCAGGTGCTCGAGCTGGAGCTTGAACCATCGATGGTTGAAAGGGCGATGAAAGAGAAGGCATGGGTGAGACCTATTATGATGACAAACCCAATCCTCAAGGGTAAGTCCGAGGCAGAGAAAGAGAACTCATCGACAAGGCCTGTAATGGCATACCCAGAGGGTGTGTGCAGAGAAGAGAATGTGAACAGGGAAAGATTGCTAAAGAAAACTCAGGCGAACGAGTTCTTCGGTAGGCCTTTCTCTGGTGTGCTTGATATATCGAAGGGTGAAAGGTTGACGAAAGAGAAGTCTTCGAAGAGGGCTGTTATGGCATACCCAGATGGTATTTCCAGGGAAGAGGTCCTAAGGAGAGAGAGATTGCTCAAGAAACCAGTTGTAGAGATCCCAATAAAGATGTCTCCAAAGGATTTGAAACGACACAAATTTGAATTTGATGACAGTGATGAAGATTATAGGGTAAAGAAGAAGAATAAGATCAGCAAGAGTGTGACGAAAAAAGTTACCGATCAGGGTCCAAATCCACCACCCCCATTGCCTATTGAATTCAGAGAACGTATTTGCGAGATGGGTGGTTCGGAGAAGGACGCTGTGTTGGTGATACAGAAGCCATTGTTTTCGACAGACACAAGTTCTGGTCATAACCGCTTTTCGATTCCGTTGAGACAAGTAAGGTCTGAGTTTCTCGACGACTCTGAGAAAAACTACCTTAAAAATCATAACGGGAAGGCTGTGGCTGCCATGGAAGTGACCTTGATTGGTCCCTCGCTTGAAAAGTGGAAAGTAGGGTTCAGGAGGTGGGAGATGAAGAAGGAAACAGGCAAAACTAGCTCATGTTATGTGATAAACTCTACGTGGAGAATGATTCAGAAAAAGCATGGTCTTAAACCAGGAATGGTTATGCAACTATGGGCGTTTAGGGTTAATGGAGAACTGTGTTTTGCTCTCGTCAAGCTTCCAAGAGGAGGAGGAGGGGGAGGAGGAGGAGGAGGTAGTGGCGGTAGCAATGGCGATGGAAGTGGTCCAAGTACTGATCATGGTGAAGACAAGACATCACCACCTTCTTCATCCGAACCAGGGCACTATTAGGGTTGATTTACTTTTGAACCTATTTGTTTATCTAGCAATTAGAAGTATATATATGAGGCTTTTTATTTGCAGAACTTCTAGTTTTTAGGTTTCTTCTGAAAAACATGATTTAATTTCTGCGTAGAACGAACTATGAATGTTTATATTTTTTGTTAATCCTGGTACGAATCTTTTAAAATCAGAAATCCATTTTGAGTCTTTCATCCGATCTAAATAGCTTAATTAGTTTCGAATGTTGATCTTTTAAAATCAGAAATACATTCTGAGTCTTTCATCCGATCTAAATAGCTTAATTAGCTTCGAATGTTGGCATTTTACTTTCGTTTTCAATTAAATTTTATTTACTATTAACTAAATTTTCATCAAATATTTATGTGCAATCACGTACAATTCAGATCAGAATAGATATTGATAAGTCTAAAACCCGAATCCTGAAAATTTAGATCGGAGCAGATTTGTTCATCTGATCAGTCATTGTCTTTAGATTAATGGCGGACCCTAATATGATCGGGACTAAGTACCAATTTTAGGACAATAGTACATAGCATTATAGCCATAACATTTTTCCAGCAGTTATCAGCTACCCGAAAGTGAACAGTAACACCATGAGGAGCAGAACAGTAACACCATTGATCGTACGTAGCATACTAATTATGTTGATCTTTATAGCACGTTAATCTTTGGAACAGTGTAGTAAACGTTATGGAGCAGAAGATATGGAAAAGGGAAATAGAACAATTAAAAACGTCGGACCTCCTTGGCTCCAATGAAACTATATATGCAAAAACAATGAAATTACTGCAGGTCAAAGATGTTATTGCAAGTTGGTATGGAGGTCAGCATTAGCAGATGTAGTAATTGTAAGAGGGAAGTTAAAAGTAGTGTGCCATTGAATTGATATTCATCGTGTTCAATTGCAGCTTATGGAATGGAAGAATCTCTGATTCCGACTACATTGCATGAAAAATATGTAAAATTGAAGCTAATTGCCCAATTGATCTAAATCATTGGTTTGGCAGGTACATATTCGAGAATTGGATGAACCTGAAATCGACACACAGCAAGTAGTAGTGGTCACCTTGCGTCTTATATGATTAATCTACTATCAATGCTTTCTTCACCACTTCATATTTCTCTAAGAAAGTAAGAACAAGCAAGAACACATAGTTTGAAACAAGAAACGATGCAATTCTCTGTTGCAGGGTATAAATAGGAGTGGAACAAATTTGCTCTGTGATTATAGTTTGAGAAGACTGATGCAGGGTAGATACTGAGAAGTTTCAAAGGGCTTCTAAAAATGAATAGTGTTTCTTTGTTGTATTTAAGAGGTATGAATATGCGAATGTGGCATGTATTGCTGCCCCAATTGGAAGCACATCCTCATCAATGGTGAAGTAAGGACTATGTGGAGGGTGCATAGATCCAGTCCTTTCATTTCTTATACCCAAAAAAAGGAAGGATCCAGGTACCTTTTCTAAGTAAAAGGCGAAATCTTCACTCCCCAAGAAGGTAGGAGTTAATTTTGTGTTTTCTCTGCCGACAATCATACTCGAGACCTGTTGTACCTGTTCAAATATTCTGTCATCATTTATGGTTGGGGGAATTGTGGGGTGTTCCTTTCCAAAGAAGTCAATTTCAGCTGAGCACCGATGAACAGCAGCTTGCCCTCTTATAACCTGATGTGCATAAATCATTATGTATTATTATGCATACAGAAAACAACATGAACATAATTGTGTATCACAAAGCTTGTTTATCAGTTACCTCTTCTATTCTTTTTCTTAGCGCATAGAAGCTCTTCTTGCTGAATGCTCTATATGTACCAGCCATTGTAGATGAGTCAGGAATAACATTATATCCAGTTCCTCCTCGAATCATTGTTACAGAAACCACCTGCAAGATCCAATTCCACAATGTGTGAAAACACAGTTTGATTGAGTTCAATCAAATGAACGACATAATCTGATTAAGACATCATGGAAATGGTCAAAGAGAAATCATACTTGAGGATCTAAAGGGTCTGTCTCTCGGGAAACAATATTCTGCAAGCTAATTAGAGAACTAGAAAGTGCTAGTATGGGATTAATGGACTGTTGTGGCATCATTGCCTGACCCCCTTTCCCTCTGATTGTTGCTTTGAAGCTCCCACACCCGGCTAGAAACTCACCTGGCCGAGCAGCCACCGTACCAATAGGATACCTGTGCACTATGTGCAAACCAAATATGGCCTCTACATTTTCGAGCACCCCTTCGTGGATCATGTCTTTTGCACCTTCACCCTGTTCCTCGGCTGGTTGAAATATAAGAACAACAGTTCCCTACAAGAGAAAATGTTGTATTAGATTTGAGACTATGCTGGGAACTAATGAGTTGTATAATTTGAATGCTGTTGCTTAATAAACGCATTCACCTGTAATCTGTCCCGGAATTGTTGCAGTATCCTTGCAGCACCAAGAAGCATGGTGACATGTGCATCGTGTCCACAGGCATGCATTTTTCCATCTACTTGGCTCTTGTGCTCCCATTCCACCATTTCCTACATATAGCAGTGTGTTTTTGTTAAGATCTTCAAGCCAACTATAGGTAAGTCTGAGACAACACATACTACATTATAATCTAATGGTGGATAAATTCAATGAATGAACATCACTTTCGATTATTGCTATTCATGAGCTCAATTTGGCCCTTGCTCAATAAATTTCCAGTTCCAAGTGAACTAAAATCCAGTATCAGGCTCACCTTCTTCTCAGAATTATGTTTGGCAGTCGGTGGAACTATAATCCTAGATTCCCTCTTCCTCATAAATTAAATCCGTGATAAGGTAAAATGGAAGGAAATGTCTCAATATTATGCCGTCATGTTACAAAATAGGTCAGTAACATGAATTCCCTCTTCCCCTGTGGTTTGCAAGCCAAACTGAAACCAATACTTGCATGCATCTCCTGCTATTGAAGTCAGCACATTAAAACAAGCCACCAGTGCAGTGACACATACACCTTCCAGCACGACTAGCCGCTACCATTTGTATTTGGTTTCTCCCTCTACTTTCTCATTGCGTTTTTCGGTTTCATTTGTCCCCTTTCATGCAAGGTAAAACAATATGATATGAGTGTTTGTTCTGCTTTCACCAAGGGGCAAACAGATGAAATAGAATTGCTAATCTATTTCACCAACTCTTTGTTAAACAGTTAATCAATAAAACTTGTTCTTTCTCAACTGTTCATTAAATTAACAGAAGGCAACAACAAAGTGAGATCATTCTATTCTACTATAGTTTCACTCAATTTTATTCAACAATAGTTCACCTACAATGAATTCAAATAAAAAAACCCATGTATTTCCCCCATCAAAACACTCTTGGTAATTTACCCTCCAAAAATAATTGAGGAAAACCTGGATCAGGCAAGAACCACTTTTTGGTGGGCACAACTTAATTCATAATACCCATTTATTGGTAGCTATTGATCACTAAAAGTTGCCTCAAAGCTCTGTATTATATAGACCTCTTCAAACACAGCATATTATCTAAACTATGGTTTCGCCTATAATACAAATGAACTGACCTGAATAGGCAAGGCATCCATATCTGCTCTCAGCTACACCCCACTGAAATTTTTAAATCCTGTCTCTAATAAATTTTTAATAAAATAAAGAGTGAGTTAGTGTAATTTTTAAACAATCAAAACGTAACTTTGACATCCTCATATTTCATGCCGTTCATGTTCGTTCGATCTCAGTAAAGGAAGAAGGAGGAGGCGCCAAAACCTTCTCGTGTAACCTTCCTACACAAACGAGTTAACCAAAATTATTAAATTGGGAGTAGTTTAGGGTTTATTTCGGGTTAGATCTGATTAATTTGACAGGTGACAATCAATCTGATCAAATTTAAATCGATTTCTAAAAATCTCTACTCAAATATTGAACTTTTTTAGTGAAGCTCAAATTAACCATATCAAATTACAACCTCACTAGTGAATAATTTTTAGTATTTATTGGGTTAAAAGAGATTTTTTGCAAGTTTTTTTTTGTCACATCTCGTGTATCTATGCTATATCCGTAAAGAGAGATTTTAAAGAAATCAAATTAAAAAAATTCTAAAAATTAATATTTCAATGAAAAATATCAATAATGTTATTTGAATTTAATTTGTTGACCTAATCTTTTACAACCATTGGGTTGACTGCACGTCCTAACAAATACTATGACCTATAATTAATCCAATGATTATAAATGACTAAATCAATAAATTAGATTAAAAAATTATATTCAAGTAACATTGCTCAAAAAATATTTACATTATAGTTTTTATCAATTACTTAGTTTTATTGCCCCCACTGCCAAACTTGTTTGCTCCGCCCCTAGCTTGTTGTTTATATTATGATGCTGATCTTTTTTATATATTTAAATTACTAAATATTGGGAAACTTTTGGGGTCATTTAAAATTTATGGGATCCCCTAATTTTTATACACTAATAAAATGTAATCTTGCTTTTTAAACAGCCACTTAGGTGGGTGGACACTATAAAATAAATTTGACGAGTGTTACATCGATATATAACTGTACATTCATTTGTTAAGCAAAAAAAAAGAAAAAAATTCTAGGTCGACCAGAGACCACTCTAGTCCAAGGTAGTTTACTAGTTGTAGATAATGAATATTGTAACACTGCCACATAGATGGTCATGTCGATAGGTCACCCCGAAGGACTCTAAGTAGGTTGTGGTTGGTTGTTAAAAGGGAGTTTTAGCTTGAGAAAAATGTCACACAGACTTGTTGTGTCATCGTGCTCAAGCCACCATGTGGGGTCCCATTATAATTGGAGTCTATAGATATAGTTTTGAGAAATTTGGAGACTGGTCCCACCGGATGGACTTGTTTGAAGATAAGTCTTACAAGAAAACTTATTTGGTTTGAAATTCATTTTTTGCTACTTTTACTATTATACCCTTATTTAGTAGAAAATTCCAAACGACGTTTAACTTACTGTTTGTTTACAAGACGAAAAAACCTTTCGTTGCCGTTTGTAAGTAGGCGTGTAAACAAGTAACTTCCCCTACATTCTTGGCTACTAATTCAGCAATTTCCTCAAATCTTTCTCATGCTTCTACTCCCAAAGATCCATCCGCCATTACCCAACCGATTTTATTGCAAATTGTAAACTTGTTTCAAACAAGAAAATCAAAAAGCGGTTTTACTTTTCAAATTTCATTGGCGAAAAGCTACAGTTGGTGTATTCTTGAAATCTTCAGAAAGTTTTGGCATTCTTTAAAAATTTAAAAGGTATGTAATTTTACATAAACTTTGATGTTTTTTTAGGGTTTTAAAACTACATTTACAACCTATATCATTCATACTGTCTAATTTTTTTTTTAAAAAAATTTGAAAATAATATTGTGAGTTTTTGTTACTATATAAAAGAGTTGGGTATTCTGATTTGATTTTATTTTTTTTTTCATTTTGTCATACATTCGAAATTGATTGGTGTGCTTTCTTTGAAATTTCTAATTTTACTGTGAGCAATTTTCAAAATTTATTATGTTATTGTCGATACATTGATGTTATTGATTTGTATTGAGTGTCCTAAATCAACCATTAACATTGTGTTACCGTAAATTCATAACAACAACATCAATTTTTGAATTGTTTTTTTACTATCAATATTTTGAAATTCGATGTTATTGTGCTCAATATTACCTTAGGACTAGAGTTGTTCATGGTACTGTTACTTAATCAATGTGTTATACAATTTACTGTGTATATATTTATTTTTTTTGCTTTATCCATTGGTCAAGATATTCGAAAACCAATAGTTCAAGCATACATTGAAATTTTTCAGTGTGATAACTAGATAAATGATTTCATATTTTTAATGTTTGGATGTGCTTGGGTACTGTGGATGTTACTAACAATTTGGTGATACTGTAAACATGTTACTGATCAAACCATTTGTGTTTTTAAAATTTTAATGTAGCATATGTTGTTTATGAAGAGTACAGGGGTTGTTTTTTGATTTTTAATGTAAAATGGAAACACAACGAATATGCAATGGAATCAATCGTATATTGAAAATTGAAGTTACTAAATTGTGTTTGTCATGATGTAACTTAGAAAATGTTACTGTGCTCAATATGACCTTGGGACTAGAGCTGTTCATGTTATTGTTACTTAATCAATGTGTTATACAATTTGGTGTGTATATTTTTTTTTTTTTGGTTTTGTTCATTGTTCAAGATATTCGAAAACCAATGGTTGAAGAGTACATTGAAATTTTTCAGTGTGATAACTGAATAAATGATTTCATATTTTCAATGTTTGAATGTGCTTGGATACTGTGGATGTTACTAACAATTTGGTGTTACTGTGAACATGTTACTGATCAAACCATTTGTATTTTTTAACTTTTAATGCAGTATATGTTGTTTATAAAGAGTGCAGGGGTTATTGTTTGATTTTTAATGTAAAATGGGAACATAATGAATTTGCAATGGAATCAATCGTATATTGAAAACTTAAGTTACTGAATTGTGTTTGTTATGATGTTACTAAGAATATGTTGCTGGGATTTAGTTTATTAGTAAGTGTTACTATGCTCATGTTACAAAGCTAATGTTATTGTCTGTTGTTTATCAATTAATATTTCAAATGTTATGTTATAGGTTGACGGAAAAAAAAGGTAAATCTACTATTCCAAAAGTAAATTCATTTCACCAATTCCGGTCTAATTTGCTTCCATTGGTGAAGGTTATAACTGACCTAAACATCACAGATATTCACAAAGAACAACTAAAAAGAACATCATTTTGGCATCTGTTTAACACAATATCAACAACTAAAATGGATAAAGAATGGTTCAAAAAAAAATGACAAGAGTATTGTGGACATAATTACAATGTTTGATGGTGAAACATCAATATTCTGTATTGGTGGAAAAGGTCTGAAGATACGGAAGGCTGATGTAACACTCATTCTTGATATAGAAGATGGTGTCGATCCAATTCTTTCCCTTCAAAGTGCAAAAAAAAAATTCACCATTTGTTAGGAGGAGATTTAGTAAGACCAATAGGTTGAATGCATCAATTATAAAAAAACTGGTTGGAAGAGGCAACAACGGGTGTTGGTAAGGATGATTGTGAAGATTTTGCTAGGTTATTCTCTTTGTGTGTCTTAATGACACTACTAATTACAAATATGGGGCAAATGATTGAATGGGGATATGTGTTGTACATAAAAAATCTGGATGAAATAAAAAAATACGAATAGTCTCAAGCAACTATTGATGCAATGATGAATTCCATACGGTTGATGTTTGAAAACCTGAGTGCAATAACCGATTATGTACTACTGTTACCAATAAGTTTTATATTGATAATTAATTTGATTTTTTTTATTTTTTCATTAAACACTATCTGTTCTTTTTAATGTAACTATATCTAAATTGCAGTACTAGATATGTGAACACATGTTTATTATTGTGCTCGACAAGGCGAATGCATTTCCACTGTGGATGAAATGAGACTTAAGAAAACTTTGGA